TTTAGAAGTAAAACTGAGGCGGGAGATTTCTTTCAGTGGTAGAGCCCTTGCCTGCCCTGTGTTTGGCCTGGATTTGATCCCATAGGCTCCGGAGAAAAGGAAATAAGCAAGAGTAGGGCCCGTTATCTAAATCCTTGTCTCCTGCAGAGAGGAGAGACATTCAGAGTTCATAAATCCCCTCCACAGCTGGTTGGGACACCATTTAGGTCATACATTTTTTTTTGGCTTGTATGAGAATTATCCGTAACCTTGTCATACTCTCTCCACTAAGTAACAACCCTTTGAGGAAACTACACTGTAATTCAACTGCGGGTCTCACAAGAAGGCTTACCCAAACAAAGCCTGCGCACCTAATAGACATCGCATGTTTGCAAAACTGAATTATTGACAATGTGTCCTAGTGCATTTTCTTTGAGTTTTAAAATTTTCATCAGGGTTTGCTTTGTATCCAGAAAATCCAATGTCAGCACCCTCATTATTATTTTGATAACTATATGTAATCTAAATCTAGGTTAATTGCACAGTAAATATCATAACCTCTTCATCGTTTTGTAGTCCCCTTCTCATCCAATAAAGAAGTCACGCTGCTGCTACAGGAGTTAGAAACACGTTAAGTCTGCAAGTCTCAAATGGTTGAGTAAATACAAAAAGTAAATATGTATTTAACTAGAGTCCAGATCAACCAGGTTTCCTGATTGGTGGGAGACAGGGAGGCACAGTTGTCTGCAAACTTTGAGCGGCTCCGAAAACTTGCAAGTGATTAACTCACGCTAGGGTCTACCTCTTATTTTTAATTGGTAGACACTATTTCTACCAAGGAAAAGGCTGGATGCTGGAGCCTAGCATAGCATTGCCAGATGCAGCCTCTCAGTTCAGGGCTTGTCCCCAGGCTTCAGCCCCCAGGCTCCGGAGGTTAAAGTGACTGGGGTGGGGCTATTTATGGCCCTAGGAAGAGAGGCAAGAGAATGGAGTGAATGGGGGGGGGGAAATGAGTAAACTGTGATCTTTACAAACAAGCCAGATGTTTTGCATTGGCTGTGGGTGGGGTGGTTGCATAATTTATCATCCATCCTGGGATATTTCTGGTGGCGGTCCCCTTGTCCTGAGTCACAGCAATGCCTCTGCCGCTTTCCATTGCTTTGAGAACTGTTTATCTATTCTCTTTTATCTTGAGGCAGGATCTTACTTGGAGAGTCTGGAGCTCACTTTCCAGCTCAGGCTTGGTTACAGCTCAAGGTCCCCCGGCCTCAGCCTCCTGAGTCTTAATTGGCATTGCAGGCAGATACCACCTGGAGTTCCTGTGTCAATCACATCTCTCTTCTGGGGTTTGAGCCTCTGTGGGAACAAACATCTTGGAACTGTGGCTAAACAGGCTGAAAGCTTCCGATCTCTGCCTAGAGCTGGCTGTACTCAGTCTCTGTAGCATTGGCTTGTACAAGGAAAGCATTTTCCGCACCTGAGAGATGACTCAGCAGTCAAAGACATTTGTCCCCAAAGCCTGGCAATTTGAGTTTGATCCTCAGAACTCGTATAAAGGTAGGAGGAAAGAACCAACTCGAGAAAGTTGTCCTTTGACCTACACAACCTCCTTGACCGGTCCCATAGGCTATTCACAAACACATATGCACACAGCTGTTAAAAACTGATAAAGGTAATGCTAGCTCAGTCGGCAGAGGGCTTGACTGTCTTGGTTTAAACACTGGGTTTGACATGGCATTAACCCGGCATGGACCACAGGTGTGCAGGCACAGACTTGCAATCCTAAACAATGGACAGAGGGTAAAGAGAAAAGGAGAATTGGAAGTTCAAGGTTGTTCTTTGCTTAACAAGTTCAAGGCCATCTGGGGTGTACAGGAAACTGTGTCCAAAAGAAAAAAAGAGAAGGAAGGGAGGAAGGGAGGAGGGGAGGGAGGGAGGGAGGAAAATTTCCAGCAAAGCTTAGTGTAGAGGTGCTGTAATCCCAGCACCAGGGAGGCTGAGATAGTGTGACTGAGGAAATAAGGGTTCTGGAGGAGTCTCATTAATAAAAGAATTTAAGGACAAATTCAAATGGAAAGTCGAGGACAATCTTATTTGAGCTGAGAAACAAAAACACAGCCCAGAGTAGGCAAGCTGAAAACCCAGCAGTTTCGTAGAAGAGGAAAATGGAGAGAAGACAGAAAAGGGCCTGAATGTGAGTCAGGAAGGCAAGGCGGTTAGTCACACACTGTGGGGAGGAGCTCAGAGAAAGTGAAATTCCAAGTGTTAAAGAAAGCATGCTTAGAAAAGAGAGAGAGGAAAAAAAAAACAAAAAAAAACAAAAAAACAGGGGCTGGGTAGTGATGGCACAAGGGTAGTGAGGCAGAGGCAGACAGGCAGATCTCTGTGAGTTCAAGGCCAGACTGGTCTACAGAGCAAATTCCAGGACAGACTCCAAAGCTACAGAGAAACCCTGTCTCAACACAAAAAAAAAAAAAAAAAGAAAGAAAGAAAAAAAAAGGAAAGGGAAGAGAAAGGAAAAAGAGAAAGGGGGGCACTGACTGCTCTTCCAGAGAACCTGGGTTCAATTCCCACCACCCACATGGCAGCTCATAGTTGTCTCTAACTTCTGTTCCAGGGGACCTGATGCCCTCATACAGATAAACCTGTACACAAAAACACCAATGTACATAAACTAAAAATAAATAAATTTTTAAAAAGAAAAGAATGAAAAGAGAGAGAAAGCAGTGCGGCTGTGGCTCTAAGGAAAATCTGGGAAGGAAAAGAACATTGTCTCGTTTAACAGGCTAATTATTTCTCCCGTCTCTTTAGCTTAGCTTAAGATGAATACACTGCTTCAGGCAACTAGAATTCTGGGTCACCACCCAGGCCAGAGAGTTCATTCTCTGGACCAGAAGGAAGCCATTTTCCCTTATGGGGCCTCACTGCTATTATGTCAGCAGGAGAATCGTTGGATGTTCGAAACCAGCCTCGGATACATAGAAAATACCAGGTCAGCCTGGCTTCATAGAAAGACTGTTTGCAAAAAAATGATAGCAACAACGAAAGACAAGTCCTGTTCCAAATCATCATTATTATAATAATGACATCCATTAAAGGTTATGTGCTATTCTTTGTGACATAGCCCGCAGAGAGGCTTGCCTATTACAATCACCTACAGGACTGATTAACAGGTCATAACCCGTCGTGGATATAACCTTTCTGCTTCCTGAGTAATTATGAAGTTCCATGGACGGATCCAACCGCCCGAACTACAAGACTTCTCTTTAACACAGTTCTTTCAGGCAGGTCTGTCAGTAGCCCCACAGCCAAAGAGGAAAGGAAGGCACTCATTCACAGGTCACCTGATTAGGAAATGGCAGAGCAGTCTTGGGACCCTGATAGCCTAAATAGCCTCTCTGTGGGCTGCCTGACTCTGCACCATGGTGCACTATGGTTTTGTTTCCAGCTTCATACGAAACTGCTTAGAACCAGCGGGCAGGACCACTTTGAAGCATCACCCCTATATCCCCCACAGCATCGAATGCTGGAGGAGAAAGATTTCCATATTCACTTACTATAAAACAACTGATTTTTTTAATCTGTGACAAATGAAACAATTTGAAATCATGGTTGGTGATTTTGAACAAAGTTCTATATTACTTGTTTGTTTCCTGACAGGGTCTCCCTATATAGCTATGGATGTCCTGAAACTCACTATATAGACCAGGCTGACCTCAAACTCACAGAGATCCACCTGTCTCTGCCTCCCTCCAGGACTGAAGTTAAAAGCATGAGCCACCAAACTCCCAGCTCCTTTTATTTATTTTTGGTTCTGGATTATTATTTTATGTGTATGGATGTTTTGCTTGAATGTGTACCTAAATACCACATGTGTGCTCAATATCAAAGGAGTCAGAATTAAAATTGCAGATGGGTATGACCCCCCTCTATGCATCCTGGGAATTGAAACCAGGTCCTCTCCAAGAGCAACAAGTGCTCTTAACAACCCTTGAACCATCGCTCCAACCTCCAAAACTTTGTTGTTGTTGTTTTATTTTTTTATTAGATGCTGCATCATGGACAAAATCAACATAAGGGAGAGAGGATTGATGCTGGCTCACAGTTTGAAGGGGTAGTTTGCCTTAGCAGAGATGTCAAGGCAGAGAAGAACTTGAGGAGGTTTGCTCACACAGTATCATCGATGGGTGAAGAAGCAGAGAGAGATAAAGGCTGCTGCTTGGTTTACTTTCTCCTTTTTTATTCAGCCTGGACCCCAGCCCACATCAGTTAATTCTCCCTGGAAACACCCTCAAATACCTGCCCAGGGATTTGTCTCCTAGGCTATTTTAAATCCTGTCAAATTTAAAGTCAAGATTAGCTATCCCTGTATAATAATAGCATGGTACTGACGTTAAAACCAGAGACCTTACAGTTTAAAGATGTATACTGTGCTTATGACAAGGTATTTTGATGCTCGAGAATCACTCCAAAATTTTCTAGTGAGAAGAAGACGGGAGAAGGAGGTACAGAATGGGAGGAATGCGGATGGAGCAAGATTAGCCCAGTGGTAGTTGAAGCTGTGTGGGAGGCCTTGGGGGACATATATTACTGTGATGTTTGCCTTTATCCAAAATAAATGGTTGTGGGATTTTTAAAATTGTGGTTTTTGACCAAACGGAGAAAGCCATGGGAACAATCAGATGTGGGTAGCTAAGTCTTTGCTTGCACCCAAGCCCCCTGACTGCTCTGGGTCCAGAATCATCCTGCCTGAAACTGAGAGGTTTGTCCTTGACACTCTCTGAGGTTCCATTCAGCTCTAAAATGTTAGCAGTCCTCATCTAGGGGAAAATTAAACAGAAGAAGTGTTGACCAATCACCTCTGCACTGGCCAGCTCAATCTCAGGAGGAATTGTAAGTTTATCCATACAGAAAGAAAGAAGGGAAGGAAGGGAAGAAGGAAGGAAGGAAGGCAGGCAGGCAGGCAGGGAGGGAGGGAGGGAGGGAGGGAGGGAGGAAGGAAGGAAGGAAGGGAAGTGACCATGCTCGCTTCAGCAGCATCTCTGCTACAACTGAAACAGTACAGAGAAAGTTAGCGTGGTCTCTGAGCAAGATGGCATGCAAATTTACTGTTTTCCATGTGTTTAAATTATCTCCCTCATGTCTGTACTTAGTGACCTTGGTAATAGATCACATAGACCAGTCATTAAAATAGAGTGAACCTTTATCTGCTTAGAAATAAAAGGAAAAAAATTATGATAGGCTTGGAACTAGGAAAACAATTCATTTCTTGCCGTCCTTCATGACTCACGTACCTGCTTACACTGTGCAATTCCTCACCATCTAATATTACCCTTTACTGGTCTCTTTTAAAGGCTACAATATACCGATGTCTTCATCCTTTTGGTGTACAAACATGTATACATTATAGTGGAGGATCCACATATGAAGAGAATATGTTTTTTCTTAGAAATTTCTGAGTAATCTCACCCTTTAAATCCATCCATTTTTCTACAGACTTTATTTTTCTATTCCACTGAATAATATTCCATTCTGTATATGTGCCACATTTCCATGATTCATTCATCTGTTGATAGATGTCCATTTCCTTATTGTCATAAATAGAACAACAATAAACATGGATGTCCAAATATCTCTGGTCAGATATGGAGTTTTTCTGGGTATGTGCCCAGGAGTAAAATAGCTGGGTTCATTAGTGGGTTGTTTTTTCCTTCCTTCTTTTCTTCCTTTCTTCTTCCTTCCCTCCCTCCCTCCCTTCCTTTCTTTCCTTCCGTGTATGTTGAATAAGTCTATAAAAATGTAATTGGTAGTAAAAGTGTAGAACCCTCCTTGCCTTCAGAGCGGTCATTCTAACTGTACAGAAGTTCACTGAGATGTTTAGAGTTTGGAGTTGGGCAAGAGGGTGTTTGTGTGGCTGCTTTAGTTTAGCGGTGTGGTGTTTTTATGTGTGAGTTTATCATAAGAGATTTTTAAAAAGAAGGGCCGTGGACACCATCCTCCGTCTATCCCTCTTCACACCTGGAGCATGCCTTTGAGCTCTTTGTTCTGCCAGCAGCATAACTTTGGGCCCTTACTACCTCTCAGTCTTCTGGTCTGTAAAATGGGGTGAGAAGAGGACATTAACCACCTCCGAAGGCTATGACAACAGTCACACGAGTAAAATAATTTCTACAAAGTGCGGAGATCCGGCTGTGTCCAGCATATACTGAGCACCCAGTTCATGGCAGAGACATCTTTTCCTCGCTCCGTTTAATAGATATGGTAACGAACTGTGGCTCCGGAAAGACAAGCTGTTTGGTCAAAGTCTATCTGTTTTAATAAACAGCTATGCAGACATTTAAACGCCAGTTTCTGACCTTAAATCCAGCCTTGTTTGCACTCCAATTGTCCTCTAAGGGCATTGTTATGAAAAGCAGTAAAGGTTGACAGGTTAAGCGAGGCAGTGATCTAGGAGGATCTGGTAGCCCCGAAGAGTTCAACAACACCAAAAAATAATGTTTGTTAGTAACACAAAAACTTAGTCGGCATCGCAGACTGCAGCCCCAGGGTTGTGGAGCCAGCCGGCCTCTCTCCCAGACAGCCTGGAGCCCCGCAAGAGCTATGGGAGAGCACTGGGTGACTGGGAGGTAAATTACACCAGTCAGCGAGAGTCAGCCCTGCTCAGGGAAGCCGACTAGGGTGCTCTTTTGTTTGCACACTGAGAAGCTTTGTAACCCAGCACTCTGGCTGCTTGAAACAATCTCTACCTTCTGAATATACTAACCTCAGGTGACCAGGCACTTTTTTTTTTTTAAGGTAGTTTGTGGCAAGTAATTTTCTCCCTCTCTCCATCACGGACCAAAGTTTCTGTCTCTGTAGCCCGCCGTCCATCCTCTCTAGATTCATTTATTAGTATGTTTAGAGATTGTCTGTGCCTGGTAAATAAGAGTGATATGTTTGTCTACGAGACGAGCAAGTATGTTTCATGGCCTGAGTTGTTAAAAGCAAAAGGGAGTTTATGTAAGTATGTGGAGGGTGATCTAAATGGGCTCTAAGCTAAGTTAAGCTGATGCCACAGAACTGTGGACAAGTCAGCAGGCTTTGACTAGGAGTAAAAAGAATCACTCTGTCCTACAGGCTCACGGGAAGGAGATGCACCAAACCATCATTCTTCCTCTTTGGCTCAAAGGGTGAAACTGGGGGATGGAGAACAGGAAGGGAAGTTCAGTTCGCCTTGAATTTACTATGTAAATTACCAGGCTAGCCTTCAGCTCTCCATCCTCCTGCCTCAGCCTCCCGAGTGCTAGGTTCACAGGTGTGTATCACCACGTTCATCTTTCATTTGATGTTTAAACGCAAGGAACTGTCTTCTTTGGGGTTTCTATTGCTATGACATCCACCATACTCATAAGCAACTTGGGAAGGAAAGAGTTTATTGAACCTCAAAGATTGTGGTCTATCTTCGAGCAAAGTCAGGACAGGAACTCAAGGCAGAACCTAGGGACAGAACAGAAGCAGAGGCCATAGGGGAACAGTGCTTACCATGGCTTGTTCAGCCTGTTTTCTAATACCACCCAGAATCACAAGCCCGATGGTGGCACCACCCACTGTGAACTGGGCCCTCCTACATTAGTCATTAATCAAAAAATGCCCCCACAAATTTGCCCACAGGCCAATATGATGGAGACAGTTTCTTAGCCAAGTTTCCTCCTTCCCAGATACGTCTAGGTTTGTGTCAAGCTGACACAAAACCAGCCTGCCCAAAGACAGGCTTAATTATATTGCCGAGCCCTGAAGATAGGATTAGGGGTTCCTAGGATCTGTTTGGATGGCTGTGCCTTTGGCTCATTTGGTCTCCCTCCCCCATTACCAGCAACAGCAGAATAAACTGTTCTGCATTGCGAGTCTGCACTGTGACCTCCTTTCTGTCACATGGCCATGACAATAGAAGCTCATCACTATCTGCTAAATGAATGAAAGCTTGCATGAGTGGGGGAGGGCCTGATACTTCTTCATAATATACGCCCTGGTTAGAGCCATGACAGGGCAGAGTTTTACAGATGTACTCGTGTAACGGTTCAAGGGCAGCGAGTTGAAAGCAAATCAGAAACTTCTTCGTGTTTTGTTCAAAGCCCCACTAACACTTCGACATGTATTAAATGTTAATAAGCAGCTATCTGGGTCAGTGGGTTAAGTAATAACTGTGGAGGAAGGTGAGAGGTGAAGAAATACACGGAAATTACATTCGAGGACAGCTTGGCTCACCAGAGCGAAACTTGGATAATAGCACGCCAGTGATTTAACCAGGCTGTCTGTCCCGTCCTCACACAGCGAGCTCGGGACGGAGACAAGGTTCTCTTTACTCAGGCAGCTGCAGGACCTGGTAAAACTCGGGAAATGTTGGGAAGCATCCAAAAGGTGGCTTACAGGGTTACAGGGTCACTATCTTCTCACAAAAGAAAGAGAGAAAATCATTGTGTTTAGAGAAAGTGTTTGGGAGCTGATTACACTTTTCAGGCCATTCTTTCTCTCCCTCTTGCATTTGACTTTTTTTTTTTTTTTGCCGCAGCCTTATGAGTTCCAACAAAAGGAGCAAAGGTTGTTGTGAGGACAAAATTGTTGCTCCTGAAAGTAGTACCAAAGACGACAGTGACAACTAACCTTCTTTGACCATTTACTATGTACCAGATCAATCTTTCCCTTTTTCTTTCTTTCTTCTTTTCTTCCTTTCTGGTTATTTGAGACGTGGTTTCTCTTCATTGACCAGGCTGGCCTCGAACTCCCAGAGATCCCCACCTGCCTCAGCTTCCCCGAGTGCTGGCATGAAAGGTTTGCACTACCCCTACCTGTCTCACAAGATCAATGCCCAAAGTCAGAGGTTTGGTAAGGGGGCTGTTTGGTCCCTCAGGGAACACTCGGAAAATCCATCTGGAGCATTTTGAAACGCTAGGACTAGGACAGAGGGGAACTGAGAGCGGATACAGGCATTGAATGGATAAGTCAGGGACACTGCTCAACTTTCCCCCAAAGCACAGGACAGTCACCTATTGCAAAGAACTGTCTGTCCCCAGCACCTTCAGTTTTAAAGGTGATGAAGTCTCCTGTTAGCGAATTTCCTCCTCCTCCTCCTCCTCCTCCTCCTCCTCCTCTCTCTCTCTCTCTCTCTTTCTCTCTCTCTCTCTCTCTCTCTCTCTCACACACACACACACACACCTTGAAGATTATTGTTTTTATTTGCAGATATGAAAACCGAGGTACAAGGTCAGTAAGAAACTTACTCTAAACCTCATGCCAGCAGAGTATCCTGCAGTCCAAAGCTGGCTGACTCCAGAGCCCTCACCCTAGGGATGGACTGTGTGTGGACACGAGCAGGCAACCTCTGACCAAGTCTTTGCTTTTCACATTAAATAGCATGCCTCTTCACGACACCTTCCTCGTGTCCACCAACGTCCCCTTCTAGGGACTTGGAAGCAGATGACTTCAACTCTGCCTTCTTTTGCCCAAAATATATTTTCTCATCTCTGTGAAAAATAAATAATAAATAGAAATTAGACTTCAAAACGAAAATGTCAACTCTGTGCCACCTTTCCCAACTAAAATATCCTGACATTAGCTTATTTTTATTAAGATAATATTGATCTATAATTAGGAATAGTAATGTTTAATAAAAATATTCATAAAGGAGTTCATGAGTAGTTCTCCAAAATAATAAAAGTATTATCGAGATAATGAAATATCAAGTTCAGTCTTTCCTTTGCCGTGGATGTTTTGTGGCTGTCCTGTGTTTCGTGGGAAGTTGAGCAGTGTCCATGGGCCTGGTCCACTCACTCAATACCCACATCTCTGCCCCATGCCCTCTTCCCTCTGACAACTCGAAATGTTCCAGGGCATGCCAAATTTCACTGCTTTCTCCAGCTGTGCATACTGGTGAAAGAATGACCCACATTATGTGAAATTCATAAAACAGTCCTATATCCCTTGCCAACTGTCACTTTGCATATTCATAGGAAGTGGACATCTAAGGGATGTCTCTACCACAGCAGAGTTCTAACCCCCAAAAGACACTTCACACAGTTCTGATTTTATTTTCTACTAAGGAGCTCTCTTTTTCCTTCAAAGGACAGTCATTGCTAGACATTACTCCCA